GTGCCTCCTCCCCCACACTCCCCCTTACCTGCTTCAGGCTTCCCGCGAATTAAATGTTCGCGGGAAGCAGGGGAGGGGGCGGAGACTTTGGGGAAGGGGTGGAGTTGGGGCGTGGGCGTGGGCGGGGCTGGGGGCGGGGCCGGGGCCCCGTGGAGTGTCCTCCATTTGGAGGCACAAAATATGGTAACCCTAATGTGTCCTAAACCCACTCCTTGCAGCAACTGGTGATGATAATTCTTCATCCTTATTAATAAGCCAGCATCCCTGCCAGAACATGGAGACGCTAGACTCTTAAAATAAAAATGGTTGGGAAAATATGTATAATGGGAAGCATTAGGCAACCTCAGTATAGCGGTTGCTACCCACTGAGAGGTTATACGAACAGGGGCTAGATCTTAGGTCTCTAACGTGGCAAACCCAAGTCTTCTCCACTCAGGCACATGCCCTGTAAGAACAATCTTGCCAAGTCTCTGTATTTGAAATTCTCCATGCTCAGCCTCGTGGTAAGCTTTGCAAAGAGAGCCAGCTCCAGCTGAGATAAGCTCTTGGGATGGAATCATAGAATCTCAGGGTTGGAAGAGACCTCAGGAGGTCAACTAGTCCAACCCCCTGCTCAAAGCAGGACCAACCCCAACTAAATCTTCCCAGCCAGGGCTTTGTCAAGCCAGGCCGTAAAAACCTCTAAAGATGGAGATTCCACCATTGACAGAGGATCCCCTCATGGGTCCATGGACAGAGCTTCTGCCTGGGAACTATGAGGTTTCTGGTTCCCAGTACAAGCGATGGTACCCTGCTGGGTGTCTCCTCTCAGCAAGGCTGGCTGATGAATGGGGGATTCTATGGATCAGACAAGTCTAATATAGTGTCACAGCCCACCCAAAGGCAGCTGCTGGAATCTGCACCACGCATCCCGCCCAGGTCGTACCTGTCCTTGATGAATCCCGGGAAGTAACATTTCGGGATCCAAAAGGTGTACGTCAAGGCGAGTGTCCAGAGGATGGAGAGCTCATCCAGCAGCTGTCCCACATAGCTCAGGGTCAGGTGATAGTAGGTAGAGAAAATACCTGCAATGAGTGAGGCTGGTTGTGTTAATAACCTTTCTCCTCCCAGCTCAGCACCCCCCTCAAGGAGACAATCCACTTCAATTCCTGGGGGCGATTCTCTGCTTCAGAGGATCCCTCAGTTCAGTTCCATCCCACCAGCCCCTTGGTGCTTGTGTTGCAGGACCCATCCCTGCCTTTTAGTGCCTGCACTCGGCCAAATCTTGCCCAGCTGCTGTTCCTGTCCAATCCCAATGGACACAACAGGGCTGGATGTTTATAATGGAGACTAGGGTCCAGCCCCACCTGTCCAGTAGGGGAGAACTGGGGGGACTCCCTTGGGAGGTGGCAAGAGCACTCCTGGGTTAACCAGAGGAGGTCGTGCTGGGCACCCGTTCGGGGGTTGGCGTATCCCTGGGACAGGACATACAGCCTCTGCTGAGCCACAGTCAGCGAATGGGATATCTGAACCCTTTGGGCCTGATTCCTGTTTACATTGAAGCCTCTTTACACTGCTTCTGGCCAGGTAAAAGGGCCTTCAACTCAAGTATGACCGGGCCTTAGGGTAAATGAGAATCAGGCTTGTGGGACTGGGCGGCAGGGGAGGTTTCCATGGCAGACAGCATATGCTCCTAGTTTCAATTTCCAGATAAACACACCACCCCTTCTTCCTACGGTAGCTCCCAGGCACTGCCCAGCCAGCCATGCAGAGCAGAGGGGGACTCTGCTCAGAGTCTACATGAAGGGAATTCGTCCCGTGCCAGTGCGAATGTCTTTAATATTGTCAGGGCTGCTAGTTCGGTGGCTGGGTCGCTGTCACACATTGTGAAGGACTCTTTCCCCATGGAGGCCCTGATTCAGGAAGGTCCCAAAGCACTTGTCTAAGGTGGCACACATCCCAGTGCAGTTCTGTGCTTATAGTTAACCGTGTACTTATGGACCTTCCTGAATCAGCGTCTTAGCCTGTGGGGAAGTAAGGCAGAGGGGACCTGCGGGTGGTGTCCTGAGATGATGGAGGCGCTGATCAATCCTCTTCTTTTCACCCTTTTCCATAATAAGAGAAGAAGGGGTAGATCCAAAATTGTGAACCTGAGACTCTCCTCGAAACTTCCGTGGGTGTATCTACGCTGCAGCTGGGAGGGGTCGTTCCCAGCGCGGGTAGACGGACCTGCACTAGGTGTGCTCAAGCTAGTGTGCTAAAAGGCTGCAGCGACCGGGGAGACACCTCAGGCTGGCCACCCAAGTACCACCCCATCCGAGGTCTTAGGTACGGACGCCGGCGGCCACCCTGCTATTTTGGCGTGGGAGCTCGAGCAAAGCGAGCACGTGTACACCTCCCAGCTGCAGTGTAGACGTACCTGGCGTGGAAAAGGGCTAAATAATCCTGCAGGCCCCCAAGGCTTTACTGAGAAGATAGGTAACCCAGAGGGAATAATAATTATTAGGCTGAATTCTGGCTCCTGCTTTGGTGACATAAAGGGGCTGGGGAGAAATCACTTGGTCCAAATGCAGCTTAGGGCTGGCATGTACCGCCCAGTGCCCCCTCGCAGACCCTGGCATGCCTGAAGGATTCAGCCCTCCAAGGATTCTGGGCTGCAAACCAGCCCATTGAAGTCTGAGGCCTGGGGCCATTTTAAATCCTGCAGGCAGCACAGAATCTACGTCTACACTGCAAGGAAAAACCCCATGGCGCCAAGTCTCAGAGCCCAGGCAATGGATCAGGCTTGCGGGGCGTGGGCGGCAGAGCTAAACCCAGCCGCGTGTAGACTTTCCCGCTCGGGCAGGAGACGCCTGGGCTCTGAAACCCGGCGAGTCGATCGACCCAGGCTCTGAGACTTATTGCTGCAGTGTAGACATGTCCGAGGTGCCTGAAGCTATCTTTGAGGCTCTGTCCTTTCTGCAGCATCTCTCAGGAGGGGTAGCCCAGAACAGAATCTCACTCCTTGTCACTTCCAGTCTGGTCCTTTCGAAAGCTGAAGGCAATGGGGGTTATGTTAGGCCTTTTAATAACCCTGAAACATACCTATTAATAGGAGCATGATGGAGAGGCTATAGGCGGACAGGGGGCGCTGCTGGACATATTGGTGATTCAGGTACAGCAAGATGGGGAAAAGGAGGAAGAAACTCACATTGCTGATCTGAAAAACAACAAGCAACACACACATCCAGCTTAAAGGGCAAAGGGCCCTGTGTCAACTTGGGCAAGTCACTTCACCTTTCCATACCTCAGTTTCCCCCTCTATAAAATGGCTACCTACCTCCAGCGAAAAGCACTGTATGAGAGTGAGGTGTTGTTAAAGATGCACAAGGCGAAGGTGTCAATCAGAAAGCAGGGGTGAACATGGGTGTAGAGCAGTGGTTCCCAAACGGGTTCATGAACCCTTGGGGGTTCATGAAATGTTACAGAGGGTTCTCAGGAAAAAAATTCCCTAATGGCGGACAGAGCTGTCCCTAGGGACTCTGAGCAGCATAAGGGCCAGCAGCCCGGAGCCCTTGACTTCCAAGAGCTAAGTAGATCAAAGCAAGCCTATCTATCACACTGAGGAGATTTAAACTTCAAGACTCCTTATAAGAAATGGAAAGGGAGATGGATTTTTTTTGCAGTTTTTAAAATTAAATAGGCAGCTAGTATTGTTTTTAAAATGATTACGAAGAACAAATTTAAGCTTTGTTGTAACGTGCGTTGTTTGCCTGGACCGCTCAAGCCCTGAACGCCTGTGTAGGAGGAACTCTTTGAGTTGGCTTCTTAAATACCTTCATGCTGTTTCACATCTGATGAAACATAGGAGCCTTGTCTTATAACAAGCTTATTCAAACTGTACAAGCTTCGAAAGTGAGATCTTGGCAGAGTGTTGCCGTTTTCATATTGTAATAAAAATACTGTAATGATCAATAATAATTAATAATAGTGTGTAATAAGCGTGTCATAAAAACAAATTTTATATTTCCAAGATCACTGCTTTTATAATTTATACTCAGGTGAAGGAGAAAATCCCTGGAAATATTCATTTTTAGGAGGGGGATTCGCGAGACTTGACATTTTAGTGAAAGGGGTTCATGGGTTGTTAAAGTTTGGGAACCACTGGCGTAGAGTGACTCCTGGGGCGGAGGGTAATGCTGTATTCTTTCTGACTGAAGTCAGCGAGCCATCCTTGGGCCAGATTCCTGGTGTAATTCCATGCAAGTCAATGGAGACATGTCAGGAGTGAGTCTGGCCCAGTGAGATTAAACTGGCTTCTTTACTCAAGTATATCCACAGAAATGCCAGTGCTCACCCACCCACCCACTCTGTCTCTCTCCCCTCCCCGACTCTTTCCCCAAACTCCTCTAGTACCACCTGTTCTGCCAGCTAGCCCTGAACACACATGGGAATCTGGGTAGTGTTGGTTGGGACCGAGGAGATTTGCATAAAGAGGCTAGTAAGGCATGATGGGGAAGAACTAGCATTTGTTATTTGGGGGGGAGAGAGAGGGTGGAGGGTAGGGAGAGAGGTGGCAGCTATTCAGTACTGAAGTGATCCCATGAAGAAATAAACATCCGTTAATCATCCTTTTTAAAATTAACGTGACAAGATGACTCTTCCCAGTCCATCTTCAAAACACTTTGTTGCAATGACATGTTATTACAGTAATTAGCATGTTTTAATATGTTTAGAATCACAGAAATTCTGTAGGGTTGGAAGGCACGTTGCGAGGTCATCTAGTCCAGCCCCCTGCGCTGAGGTGGGATCACGTATACTCACACCGTCCCCGACAGGCGTTGTTTAACCTGTTCTTAAAAACCTCCAGTGATGGTGTGATGGGGCAAAGACTCCCCACACCAGCAGAGAGCCTATGGGCCAAGTTAACTCTGCCGCGCTATACCTGTAGCCAGTGCCAAGCCTGAAGGAGGAATAAAAGGAGAGAACCCCGTGTCTGGCTCAATTCTGGGGTGAGACATTTTAGCTGTCTAACAATGTGCAGCAATGTCCCACAATGGTTTTGGGCAAGAGGAATCTTTTATCCAGTTGAAATTGCAAGAGGAATTGAAGGAGGTGGAATGTAGCAAGGACACCAGAGCTAACAGCCCGATTCTTGTGAAAAATGCCCCAAAATCTCTACAGACCACAAGGGTCAGGAGCTTGGTGTCACATCTCATCTGAAAGGTAGCACCTTTGGGATGCATCTGTTAAGTATGAGCCAGAGGGAAGAAAGCCAGATGAGGAACAACCAAAATGACTTCCTGCCTCACCTAGCATCTGAAGAAGTGAGGTTTTTTACCCACGAAAGCTTATGCCCAAATAAAGCTGTTAGTCTTTAAGGTGCCACCGGACTCCTTGTTGTTTTTGCCTCACCTAGGTGGTCCTTCTTTTGTCTGCCATCTAAGTACGAACTTAGGCCCTGATCCTGCAGTCAGTTCTGCAGAGGTGGACCCTCCTATCCGAGTGGACTCTCATTCATCTCATGAATCCGATTGCAAGATCAGGCTTTGCTTATCTGGTGAGACCCAAAGGGATCTTAGCTCATGGCTGCAGGCTACAATGAAGTTGTTAGAGGTATGGTGCACAGGCTAGCATATTTGGGATGCAGATGTTGACTCTCTCCTTTAACTTCTATGGATGAATCTTGAATTGCATCCAGTCTTTCATGAGACAAGTTGATGCTTTTATTTACAGGAATTTTCAGGCCAAGGGGATCTGCCTGTTGTAACTTAGCACCAGTTCTTGCAGCATTCCCACCCTGGACTGGGCAATTAACCAAAGCTAGAATCGGAGCAACCTTTCCCTTCATATCTTCAGGTTGTTACACAACAGACACAAGAGGAAATACTAGTCCCACCGGTGAGATCAGTGACAAAATGTTCAAGAAAGGCCGAGAAAACATACCAAAGCTGTAAAAATCACAAACAGGCTGTAAAAAAATTCCTGAAAACCAGGCTCCTGGAGAACAAACAGGGATTGCCAAGGACAAATGGAGAGAAAGTGTGCACAGAAAGGGTGGCAGAGTGCAGATTACAGGAGTTAGCTGTAGGAATTACTCAGCCGATCGGAAACGTAGATGTTTAAGGTTGCCCACGCAGATGTTTCTCTGCTTTATTGTGCATTGCGACAGTGTCCTTAATTATCTGATCTCAACACGATTTCCCAAAGAATACAGTGTGTGAAGCACCACAAGAGCCGAGATTAGTGGAAAGGTATAATATACAGGAGGATGCTAGGCTGGGAACTGTGCAAATGAGAATCAAGAAATATCAGACTAGCTGAAATCAGGGCAGTTAAGCTTGGCAACTAGATGATGAGGCACAATAATATTGTTGGCCATAATGACAGCCCACAACCCTCAGCAGTGAACCCTTAGAAAATTAGAAAGTAGCAACTGACCTCCTCCAAGCTGCTAAACAAGACAAGGATGGCAACAGGAATTAATCTATAATTCAGCTCATTGGCTTTCCATCTTTTAGGTTCACATACAGGTTGAGCTCTTGAAGAGAGTGAGTCAGAGTTGTAGGTCCCCATTTGTCCAGGTCACTTCATTTGGCAAGATTCTCAGTCTCAGTTTAGGAGCAAACCTGGACTGGGAGAGCAGAGCTACTTCCAGTGAGGACGGCGCATTAGCCGAGCTGTGCGAGGTGGCCCTGGACTGGTCTAACAGGGCATGCTGCAGATCAGGCTAGAGGTGCAGGGGTGGAAGATTTTTGCAAAGAAGCTGTCTGCACTGTACATGGCTTAGGTGAGGGCTGTTCACTGGCACTAAATTCATTTCCACAGAAAGGGGATCTCCTCTAGGGAAAATACCAGAAGAGGCAGCAAGAACTACCAGGCTGTTCTTTTCCCTAGATCCCAGTCAGACTGAAACCGGTCGTTTAGCAGGTGGTATCTCCCAGCCACTCCTTTGGAATCCATCTCATGCTCTAACCGTCACCAACGGAGCGGGACTGTACATACAAATGACACCTTTGTCCCACTGCCAGGCACACCTATCCAGGAGTATCAGCCTGGGCCCGTTTCAGACACTGTATCATATCATAATCCGACTCTGAATCCATCCTGCATTGCAAGAGCAGAGTCAGTTTCTCTGGCAAAAGAAAAAACCTCAAGAAACAGGTTCAACTGACATTAGCAGTTGCCCCAAAGAATTTTCCTTCAGGCACAGGCTTTCTTAGACTTTTGGCCCACCTTTTAATAGTGAGACTGTCTCCCGGGCACACCTCCCCTCCCATTCATGATTATATAACTGGAGCTAAATGAGCAATGGCCCACATGGAAAAGTAAAACACTAACGTGTTTCTAGCTGCTCAGTGCAGCGAGGGTTAATCAAGCTGGATGGGATTTTCAAAAGCACCATAGAGAGGGAGGTGCCTGACTCGCACTGCAAGCCAGTGGAAACTGAGCATCTAACTCTCTTGGGTGCTGCTGAAAAACCTGATCTTCACTTGCTCTTCATTTTGTCTCTGGATTAATAAGGGTGGAACTGAGAGTGTGGCGTGAATTGATTTTTCGGTTCAATGGCCGAACCAGGGGCGGGATCGAGTTCATTTGGAACCAGAACTGATTTTTTTTCAGTTTTTCTCAAGTCACGAAATAAAAAAAAAAGAATTTCCTTTGGGTCGACTGCAGTGTTTAAAATGTGGATTGGAAACAAAGTGCCCAAACTGTTCATTTGGAAAATGTCAAAATGAAACATTTGTTTGACATTTCCCCCCAAATTTTTTCTCGTTCTTTTTCCAGCTGAAACTACTTGCCAAATTCAACCCACATTAGTCACACACACGGCCATGCACTTTTCTGCAAATTTACTATTTGCTGAAAATATTTCACCCAGATCTAGAACGAGGAGCAGGATTTGGCCAGGTGGGGGCAGAGAGCAAACCACTACGTCTGTGATTGGTAGAGAACGGGTCTTGTCCAGAAGGCAAAGAGACTTTCTCACCATGCTGTACCTGAGTAGTTGAGAATGATTATGTAGCATAATCAATGATTATTGCTCACAAGCCAGATTTACCTGGGGCCCTCAGGGCTTAAGCTACTAACAGTAGAAGCAAATACCGATGAAGCAAGCTGATGGAGGGTAGGCTGAGGGACTAGCTTGAGGGTTCTGCATGACACCCATCCACTCCCTGTCCATGGGATCCTATGCATTAGCAACAAGAAGCCATGATC